AATCCAAAGGAGAGGCATGGTGTAGAGTTTAGGGTTAGGGTTTAGGGGTTTAGGGTTTAGGATTTAGGGGTTTAGGTGTTTAGGGTTTAGGATTTAGGGGTTTAGGGTTTAGGGTTGAAGGTTTAGGGCTTGTGTTGAACCGCTTGTCCGACTGCGCCGTGTCTCCCCCACACGCTCGGAAAGTTTCGGGTTGAGGGCTTGCGGCTTAGGTCATCATCCGGCTATTCATAAGCGCGGTAATTGAAGAAAACCCCTAAACCCTAAACCCTAAAGCCTAAACCCTAAACCGGCTTTTCCGAGATTGGCCTCCTTTGGGATGACTGCCATGCTCTGATTTTCAACTATGCTGGAACAGCCTTCGTCCGGATCGAAGCAAAGCGAGAATCCAGATCCACCTGAGGTCGAGCCGTACCGTGCCAGTGAGCAGAAAGCGAGATGGGTAGTTCTCTAAACTAGGGTCCTGTATTCTCGGTCCCCAAAAATACTGCGGCACCCTTATGAAAGGACTCTAAAGGGATCGTAAGGCTCCGAGGACCTCACCGCTGTAGCACCGACCACGAGATCCATGGCCTAAGCATTTTGCCGGCGTAATTGCAGACAAAGGAGGGCTTTAGGGTTTTTAAGGGGGTATTCATAGAAGTTGTATAGGGTTTGGGTTCCGGGTCTTGGGCGTTGTTGTTGTTGCTTGCTGGCAGGCGTTTGATCGGATTGCTGTTGTGCTTTGGGCCTGCCAGGCCCCCCAAATGCGTCTTTTTTTGTGGTGTTCCTTTGTTTTGTGCCTGTCCAAGCCTCCAAGGTCGTTTGCCTTTCTGGCATTTGGTGCTTTTCCTACATTTGGGTTTTTATTGGCCCCAAAGCCTTGCTTTGGCTTTTTCTGTGCCTTTTCAAGCCTCCAAGTTTGTTCGCCTTTTTGGTGCTTTTCCAGGCCCTTGTACTGCTGCTGCCGCTCAACATACAACTTCTTCTTAATCAGTTGCTTGAGGGTGGAGGGTTTAGGGGATTAGGTTTGCTCAGCATCGGGTTTCTCAGCAAGGTTGCTTCCCTCAATCGGCAGGCACCGGTTGCTAAGTATGCTGCTGCGCCTAACTTGGACATGCAGCCGTCAACGAAGATTTTCATCTCGGGGTCCTAGCAGCAAGACGAGCACAACTTAGAGTCGCACACAGCGCAGGGTTTAGGGCCTAGGGTCCTAAACCCTGAACCCTCTAAGCCGTTACTACTATAATCCCTACTCTAAACCCCTTTAAGCCCTGAAGCCCTAAACCCTAAACCCCAGAATCGCACTGTGAAGTGCCTAGGAGCAGCCTTGGGCCTAGAAAAGGGAGGGCTTTCGGCTGCGAAACTCTCTGACTCTGGCAAAGCCAGTAGAAGCCCCAAAACCTAAACCCTAAACGGTTTAGGGTTTAGGGTTTAGGGCCCCAAACCCTGAGCCCTAAACTCTAAACCCGAAACCCCAAAGCCGAAAACCCTGCCATCCTCGGATCACCTTTGAGTCTTTTTCTGTCAGCGGAAGAACGCACAGGCCTTCTTGGACGGGGGGGGGGTTCGAACCCAAGGCACGCGTATACGACCGAAAGCCGGGAAATGCTCTACGAGACAAGTTCATGCTGCAGGGCTCGGAATTCTTAATGCTACAGTATTTCCTGAAATTTTATACCTAAACCATATACATCAATGCTTAATGATATATAGTATGTTACACCCCACAACCCTACTCTATTTATGAAGGCCCGCATGATTGTTCAAATTGCAGGCATCGGCTGCCCAAGCGATACGTCGAACTACGAAGGGGTCACTGAGCTTCCGCACCCAGTGCCGCGAGGTTGCGGGTGCTGCTACTTCGCTTTAAGGCTTTCTACAGTGCTTTTCTGGTGATAAATACGAGGCACCCCTATGATCAACGGGATCAAGCCTTATGAATCCATCCTTAGCACTCCGCAGCTGCCCTTGGTCGCTTGGCTCCCAAGTCATGCAGAAGCGAGGGAGACTTCGTGGGAACTTTGCCATAAAACTGTGGGAAGCACATATCAGTCCACGTGCCGAGTGCAATCGTTCTGTTCCTTCGACCAACAGATGGCTCAGCTTTCTGAGGTTTTCGAGTGGATAAAGTCCGTCATCGATTTGAGGTTCCTTAGCGCCAGCTGCTTGGCCCAAATCTCGTGGCTCTCTGCGGGCACGTCTGGGAAACTCTGGGACACAGGCGGATAATCGAAGACCATTGAAGCAGGCAAATTGATGCCCGGAACCAGATTTCGAACCTGTCACTACGAGCCGTCAACAGAGCTGGTTTAGGGCTGTGGGTTTGACGTTCAAGGTGTACGGCTTGCATGGACGAAGATGCAACTTAAACAATTAGCAGCAGCCTGCCTGGTTGCGGAACTCCACGCTGGACAGACTGTCCATTCCCGCTTCCATAAGAGGCGAATCCATCTGGCCATGGGCAGTTTTTTTTTTATGAGGCAGATCACTGCAGGACGAACCAAAGGCATGCAGTAGTCATGAGAGAGATGAGGAGAACCCGAAACCTTTAGGAGTTCAAGGAGGCTTGGTGCTGATTCGCTCTCGGCAGATCCTCTGGAGATGCAAGCTCTGCGCACTGCATCTGGCCGAGATCGACCGAGCCTACCGTCACACCAAATAGAGGTACATTAACGATTGGACTAAGTTTTCTTGGGGGATATCATACTACGAAAGCCGAATAGAGGGACATTAATATACTTAGACTGTGTCTGACTAAGCTTTTTGGGGGAGATCATACCGACCCCTCTCTGTTAGACCGCCATCGCGCAAGATATGACATCCGTTCTGGGAAGTCCCAATTCTGAGGGCCCTGCATCAATGTCGTCGCCGACAACGTTTTTGGACAAGTTTCGCAGACCCTCACTGATGAACTCCTCCAAGAGGGTGGCACATGATTGCACCAGCTCTGTCGGGTCTGTGAATGCCAATATATTATATATTAAATTACTAAAATTATATAGTAGATATTATATATTATACAGACATAATCTGCAGTTTAGGGAAACATGAGCCAACTTCATGGCATGTTCGCGCTGAGGTGCACAGCACACTGACTAGTTGTCTCTGAGGAATGCTGTCCCGCGTAGGACCAGCTGACACTGCCACGGCCGCAGAAGGTGCAGCTGCTGCCGCCGGCATCGAAGTCTGGCCACAACGTGCATTGCAACGTGTGCACGAAGCTTTGCGGCTCACTTACTTGCCAAATCTGAAGGATGATCTGAATGAAAAACATGTCGTTGCCTCGTAGGCAGGCATAGGGGCACCTGACGCTGGTGCCTTGGGCTGGCATCAAGTATGCTTTGCAGCTAAGTTTATGAGCTGAAGGGGAACTGATTGCAACGAACCCCGACCCGGAAATCTGGAACATCTTACAGAACAGCGCTGCAGCTCTGGCTTTTCAACTTGGAAAATGCCTTCACCGGTAACGTCCCGTGCGAGCACGGTATAGACAGAGTCGAGTCGCAACACCTCCCCTTGATGTGCCATACATCTGGTCCAGGATGCTCTTGGCATACTCCTTGCAAAGGAAGGCTTTAGGGCTTGGGGTACCCGGGTTGCGTTTGTTGCTGAGCTTCTTTGCACGCACGCCCATCGGATATGTAAAAGGAAACCCTGAGCCCTAAACCCTAAAGCCGAATCGTTTCAATCATGAGATGACTCCAATAACCCCAGACAGGTTCGGCACAGGACGACTCAAAAACTGCTCATGCGGTGCTACTACGGGACCCTACCTTGGGGGCTGAGTACCCTAGCCCAAAAAAGGCTGACCTTTTGATTTTTGTAGGATTATAAAAGTCCCAAAAAGGTTACAGGTTACCTACTCAGCGCCTTAGCTACACCCTAACCCCCAAACCTTAAACCCTTCAAGTCCCTCGAGCCGAAACCGCCAAACACCAAACCCTAAGCCTAAGCCCTAAAACCCTAAGACCCTAAAAGAAACCCTGAGACCCGAAACCCTAAACCCTAAAACCCTAAACCCTACATAGCCCTGGCACACCCTGAGCCCCGAAACCCCCAAGCCCAAAGCCTCGCCCTCCGCATCCCGCAGTTCACGGAAGATGGCCAGGGCTTGCTTTGCCTGCAAGGGAGCCGTTTTCTTCACCACAAAAACCCCCCTGTGGGGTTGCACCGTTAACGGCGAGTTTGGGTTTAGGGGCTTAGGGTTACGCGGCTCAGAGATTAAGGCTTTGAAGTTTGGGGTTGAGGGCTTAGCTTGGGGTTTGGAGGTGGTTTCGTTTTGAAGCTTCATTTAGAGTTTAGGGGTTCAGCCAAGTAAACACTGTATAGTATTCGGTTTCAGTCTCCTTGCCCAGCCCGGCATTGAACACAAGATTTGCTGAAACCAGGGCCGAATGCGTTTAACAGGCCTCGGAAAATGCATTTGGGTTTGCGCAAAGCTGCGAACTCAATTTGAGCGGCATATGGGTTGTTGCTGAATCAGGACAACTTAAAAGTTGTTCGATTGAACGGCAGTTTTGCCGAAACCAGGGCCGAATGCGTTTAGCAGGCCTCGGAAAATGCATGTGGGCTTGGTCGGAGCTCCGGGAACTGATTCGAGCAGTTTCGTGGCTGCATTTTCGGGTGTAGGAACAGCATTGGGCTCCAGATTTGTTGCAACAAGGCTGCGTTTAGCAGGCCTTGGAAGTGTGGAGCTTGGACGCAATGCGAAGAAACAGATCCCCCCCTCCCCCCCCGTACCTCTCCGCAACCCGCCCCGCCCCGGAACCCACCAAAACCCGCCCCACCTGCCCCCGAAACCTTCATTAGAATTATACTATAAAGGAGCCCCAAAACCCTCTTCTAACTATGAAGGTCCCATTACCCTGTTGGGAACCTCCCGAAACCCAGCGCGGAGGGCCCCGCAACCAGGCCTTGCCCCAATCTGCCCCCAGGCCTTATTTCGGCCGAAGACCCCCCCGGAGCTCACGCTGTTGGGGAACAAAAAAGGGCAAAAGGGTACTCTACTGGCGAAAACTAGTTACAGTAGGTGTCTTTTTAGGGTGTCTTGACGAAGGGCTTAGGGTTTTAGGGGTTTGGGGTTTCAGGTGCTTTCAGATGTCGTGCAATACAGGGGCCTGCTCATTGGCCTTCCCCATGTAGTTCTCCACCTCGGCCGCTACTCTAGAGTATAACATAGCGTAGTATAGTATACAGTAGTATCGTACAGTATCGTACCGTATAGTATAGTGGAGTAGAGTCGAGTATCGTATCATATCGTATAGCACAGTATAGTTTAGCATGGTATAGTACAGTATAGTAAGTATATTATAGTATAATATAGCATAGCATAGTATAGTATATAGCATCGCATGGGATAGACAATAGTTTCGCAAGTACGGTATCGTAGAATATAGGGGTGCTGCAGCATGCTCTTGCACAAATCAGTCTGCGGCAACATTGACCTCCGCGTTGATGCAAAGCATCGCAGCCTCCAGCTTCTTGTCTCCAACCTCTCGGGGGCTGTGTGGAGCCATGCAGCTTCAAGAAGGTCAGGCGGGTATAGTGTAGGACAGTGTAGCATGGGTATAGTAGCCTAGTGTACTATATAGTATAGTATGGTGTGGTGTAGTGCGGCGTAGTGTAGCATGGTATAGTGTAGTTTAGTATAACTCAAGATTACCATGCCTTTTGCAACTCAGGGATTGCGCAGAGACGAGGTCCTCCTTCTTTTCGGAGGCGCCGGCAAGACCGGGACTTCCACCAACCATTCGCCTTCCCTCCGAAGGAAGACAGCCGCAGACTTGGACTGCGGGTCCTCGGAGGACTTCTGCTCGTAGCAGCCTTTGAGATAGGACACAGGAAAGCGGGTGTCTAGTGCAGTGATTGATTCCGAAGGATTCCAGTCGGACTTGTAAGAGTTCACATAGTACAAGCATGCCAGATGCTCCTTCCAGGCATAATGAGCATCTTCGAAGCAGCCGCGGGCGGGGAGATCTTCATGGAAGCACTTTCGAATATAATCCGGGCGTATCTGACCGCAGTGCGTGGCTCGGGACCAGACCTCCAAAAAAACAAGCAGCCGAAAATGAATCATCGCATCTTTTGCCGCCATTTTCGTGAATCCTTCAACCAGCGGTTCGTACAAGTATGGCTCCAGCTTCCAGTGGCGATGGTAGGTGGTGTTCATGAGCCAGTCTACGTACAGCTGCAGGACCCAATCAGAGCCCTCGGTTAGGTGCCATTCGGCAGCCAGTTCCATACAGGTCGCAAGACGTTGGCTTTTCCTCAGGTAGCAAGCGCGGCCCGCCATGGATGCAAGCAGAAGCCTTAGCGTGGTGACAGCGGATGCTTTGACTTCGCCATCAAGGCCTTGAGCATGCTGCATTGCTCGCTCAAGAGCAGGACGAAAATCTGCATCTACGGAGTTGTCATGACAGAGGAATGGCATAGTCTGGCCACATGCTTCGCCGTGCTCGTTGACGAAGACCTTCGGCTTCGCGATGCTGTAGAGTGCTGCTGTAATATCCTGTATATTCAAGCCCAGAGTTGCGAATTCGTCCTCGGAGGGCGGCTTTCTGAGAATGTCTCCCTTCTTGTTGTCAAGAGAAGCAGCACTACAGTGCAGCAAGTACAGGGCAGCAGCTGCCTGAGGGAAGGGTCGCTTTTTCTGTGTTTGGCTCCAGTTCATGAGTATTAATAGCAGCAGCTGCCACATCCAGGGGTCTGCCATCAGCCACGTCAGATCTTCGGCAAATGCCGCCTTGGAGGAGTCCTCAGCTCGCGAGTCCACGAGATCTTTCAGCACGGCCCCCACGTCGCTCACCTCACCCGAACGAACGGGGCCCTCACTTAAGCGCGCGAAAGCCACGACCAGAGAGGTCATCTCATCCCACTCCTCCAGGTGACCATCCACGTATCGCACCGCACCCAGCCTCGAAGCTGTGAAGGTACCCTGAAACTGCCTCGTTCCATGACTGCCAATTTTGCGGCTTTCCCATGTGCCGTGCATCCAGCGATTCTTGTCCTCGGAGACATCACAGACGCAATCATAGACCGTGTCAGCCGTCATCTGTGTAATCTTTAACCTGGAGCCTATGATTTCTGCACTGACCTCTGTGACGTTCTTCAAGAAGGACTTGCCCGTCAGGACACCTCCAGGTCCCGGCTCCAAACAGATCTTGTAGCGGATCTGTTTCTCATTGTTTTGCCATGCCGCATCGACCTGCCAATTCCCCACCACACTTGGAAGCAGAATACCCTGCTCAACCGCCGCCAACAAGAGACTGGAGCGTATGGACCTCAGAAATGGCTCTGCTCCACGTGACACAGGCATACCCTTTGCTTCATCCTGGGCCCCCTCTTTCTCTTTCGCATCCAGACGAAGAACCGGGGAGTCGCACTCCTCGTGCTGAGACTGTCTTGCCAGGCGCTTCAAGTATCTCACGATCTGTTTGTAGGTTCCCGCGCGGCCACCGGTGACCTCTAGGAGCTTCAACAACTTGGGATGCTTCAGCGGTCTTACAGAACCGGGATGCCAGGATGCCGCCGCCCAGCATGTGTTGGGCTTGTAGTTGGAGTCAAAGTCAACGCCTTCTAGATTCCAGGCCGAGCGCCTACATTCTGGATCGCGGCGCATTGCCTCCACAAGCTTTGCAAGCAGGGGATGCACTGCAGATTTCAGAAGCGCTGCGTTTGATTCCAAGAGTTGTTGCCTTAGAGCCGGTGGGATCTGCGAGAGCAACTTGCCGTCTTTGTTCGCCTTCGAAGCAAGGAGCTCTAGAGCGTCCTTCTCCGATTGAAATACCCTTTTGAGACTATTCTCAGAAGCTTTTCGTTTGGCATCTGCCAACAGCTTCTCCATCTCCGTGTAAAGGCCTTCCCAGATTGACATGTCCTTCTTGCACATGCTTCGAAGAGCATGGATTCCCGCAGCTGTGCCAAGATCTGCTTCCATGGATGCATGCTATGATTTTCTGCCCCAGAGGTTCGCGTCTTTCAAGCCACTATGCAGCCTGCACGTAGGCCACTGCTGCCCCTGCAGGCAGTGCTCAGGCCATGAACAAACGGCTCATGAGTCCAAAACAGTGTATATGTATGCACTTATGTAGGTGGGCATGTATCTATCTGTCTGTCTGTCTATGTATCTGTGGGTAAGTGTATATACATATATATATATACATATATACATATGTATATATATATATACATACGTATACATCGGTATGTATGTGTCTACATTTAAACATTTCTATACCGTATATACTTAATACGGTGCAGTATACAAAA